AATTTACAAATTTATATGGCATTACTACATGAGAGATGTTGCCAACAAATTATGATTAGGAAAAACTGCAGGACTCCAAGATCCGTTTCTCGTGCATCGGAAAGGGCTGCTTCATAATGTCTATATCACCCTCCACTAATACATTACACCCCGTAGTGGCAAGGCAGTTCATTGACACTATTCCTGCTCCCTGTGTTTTAATCATTTGCTCCTGGTTGTCACTTGCAGGGGCTCAGACCCCCCCCAACTTCAGACACTGAGCAGAGGCACCTGGTTAGGAACAATGTCACCTCACACTCAGCAGGCAGATTGAAGAGGTGCCAAGTGTGAGCCAGCAGCAGTTGGTGAACTCTTCCTTACTGGAGATGCCTCTCACTCTCTGTCAGAGGCAGGAGCAGCCCGTGGTGACTACACTTCTGACTTAGGCACTCCCTGAAGCAGGATGTGGCTCTCTAGTGCGGAGCTATCTATTTTGTTTATGCTGAATCATCTCCTTCTGTCCCTTCTTAGACCAAACAACCTGTACACCTGTGAGCTGCAACTCCTGTTGCCTTATCCCTGCTGATATAACCTCCTGTACCCTGGGGGGAATTTATAGATGCATCAATACAATTTCTTAGAGAAACAACTGATAAATAAAGTGAATGTTGGGAATTTAATAGGGGAGCTGATCTCTCTTTGCTGCTGAAAAAAAAGGAAATCCCTCCCGTGTATTCTACTAAAATAGGTTGAAAATAAATTATATGCTGGTCTTATGATGACAATCACACAGATTTATATTATAACTATAAATTATTATTACAGCTATTCAAAGTAATTTTGTTGTTTTACTTTCAGGGGCCTATTACACAAAGGAACAAGGGCTGTGACCTGATCTCTCACATGAAAGATAAAGACACATAAACTGTCTAAACAGCCACTTCACTATACATGGACAAGAAAATAATTTTTATGCAAATAGAATCTGAGACCAAAATGCCTTTTTTCTTCACCTCCTTTCTATTTCATTGTTATATAAATCATAAAGATGCCACTGGAGACCACATAGGAAGAGGTCTCAATGGTAGAAGTGAGAGCTTTCCGCATTTATCTATTTTTAATTTCAAAAGGTATTTTGAATTAAAAAAAGAAAGAGGGGGAAGAAAGAGCATGATGCTATTCGCATGCCTGATTTCCCAGGAGTACAAACAAGCTCTATGTTCTCTTGTAATATTACAACAAATTTTCAAAACCAAACACAAATAAATGAAAATTAAACTATGATCCATAAATTTAATTGAGATTCACAGTGTCTGATGCTTTTCAAATTCAAATTACTGCCAGACAGTGCATCTTTTTGCATAACTTATGCAACTAAAGTGTAGGTGATAGTTTCTCCACTCTCCCCCCCTTTTTTTTTTTACGGAGAGATATATTTTTCAGTCATAGTGCTGGAAATTCTGCACATAAAAGCTGAATAATAATCAATTTTCATAGATAAACCATATCATGTTCAGTGCTTAGAACACAGTGCAGAAAGTAAGCAGGGAACACCAAGCATTTTTGTTTTGAAGAATAAATAATAATTGAATCTGTCTGTCATTAGAGCAAATACTCACAGGTAACTACTCTTGTTTCTGTCAGAGGTCTTTGGCCTCCAGTAAATAAGATTAAATGCCCCAAAGGTAACACAGAATTCTCTGCACATCATTCATATCACTTTGGAAATCGAATGCATTCATATGCCTTACCTAAGAGGGATGTGAATTTGGACGGACAGCATCTACCAGAAAAAGAGGCTACTCCAGAAGCAATGTTATGGAATAATTAAGGTTTAAATTACATTTAAATGTAATTCAAATTTGCCTTTGGGACAACTTCACTTGGTAGTGAAATTCTTAGTCCTTGATCTTGCAGTTATTTCAGCTCTTTGTGTAATGTAACCTAAGGAAAAAAAAAGCCTTTGTCTAAATGGGTTGGGATCCTTGCAAATACATGGGCCTCCATTTCAGGGCTGTGATTGGTACTCCATGTAGAGAGAGCTTTGAAAGCCTTTGCTGAAAAAGGGACCTGAAGAGGATGTGGGGTGTGCTGTGTGAGATGGGGTGTGAGGGGACACTCTCCACTCTCTCCATGGAAATGTCTGGAGACCAGGGCTTGAGCCACCCTCTGACGTAGCATCGGTGATTTACTTGCAGTGGGAATCCTGGTAGCAGGATTATTCAGTGGATTTGTTTTTCCTGACCTTTACCTCTCTGATGACAACCATTAATCTTTAGCTCTTTCTCCCGTATTGGACCGAACAAGGTTGGTGCTCTTCACATCTGTCAACCAACAGTTTCTCCATCCTGCTGGTCACCTGAACAGCAACTGAAATATAAGCCCATATATCTGAGGGTGTAAATGTCTCTTTTCTTATTTTGAATCAGGGAGATGCAGTGTTTAACCATGCAGGAGTAAGCTGAAGGGTGGCATTTTAAAGGAGCGAGGAAGAAATGTTTTAGGCAGTTTGTATTGTGAACTAGCATGATGTTTTTTGGATGGTAAGAAAGGGAAAAATCCTTTAAAGCCATGTAAAACATCATCAGATACACTATTTGAACTGTTAGTTAATGGTAAAATGAAATATTTCCTACCCATGAAAGTACAAATGTATTGAATCAGATTCCAAAGATGATGTAGTATGATAAGAAATGCCAAAAGTGTTATGCAGAATGCTAACTCCTGTGAGAAAATAAGAAGAGTGCTTCACCAGTGTTGTCATGACACAAACTAGTCATTATCACTACGTTCAGTGAAAAAGCTCTGTTTCCACAGCACTTTTCCATTATATACCTGATTTTACTCCTAAAAGGAGTAAAAACAGTGGAGAACATCATCTGGGGGTTTAAGCAAAATAAAGGAATACAGCATTTCAAGTGGGTTGTGTAAAATCACATGCAGGGAAAATATGAAGTTCAAGTACTTAAAAATTATCACTGCTACAAAACAGCAACCATTTTCTTCATGACACAGACACTTTCTCAGCTCAGATCCATAAATCTGACCACAGCATCATTTCATGGCATCACCATCACTTGGTCACTCTATTCTAGAGCACACTTTGCACCTTTCTGCTTCCTGAGCTTTCCTATCCCTCCTTCTGTCTCCAGCCCAGGGGTAACCCCATTCTCAGCTCTTTCCCCTGTGTCCTTCCTCCTCACATCACCAGAACCATGCACTACTCTTCTCAACATCCTCCTCCTCCCAAAATGTCAGGATCACGTGTGGTCTGGGAAGATATCAAAACGCAGCACTCCCAAACTCACATGCCAATGGGAACTGACATCTTTCCCGTGTGCCTGTTTTCACTCTTGGTTTACAACAATGAAGAGAACCAGGTACCAGACTACTGCTGTTTTCCAGACAGCTGCCCACACCACATGCAAGTGTTGTTCCTTTGCTTGATGTAAGTTAGGACTGAGGGAAGCAGATCACAGTCAAGCAAACTTCCAGGAAATTAATCTAGTACAGATTTTACCTGCCCATGGTGAGGATTGGCTGCCTGGTCATCAGTGGAACTGATAGGAAGGAACAGCAGCAATAAATTTCACTGTGGATTTACCTGCTTTTGCTAGTTCATTTGGAATATACTTAAGAAGATAAGGTCATAGAAGATTTGAGAATTTTAAAGTGGTTTCTTTTCCGTACAAATTCCACTCAAATATTCTCAAATCAAGCCCTGACTTGAAAAATAGCTACTGAAATTTGGTGGCCAAATGGTGCTTTTGTTAAGAAAGTGAGTGAAGTCAGTGAGAATCCTTCAGCCTCTAAATTCAAGTGTCACTGACTGAAACCTCTAGCTAGATGATGTCCAGTGATAGCAAGCAAATTAGAGGTATCCAGCCTCTTTTATCAGATCTCTGTGAACTCCTTCTCCTAACTTTTTGCCTTGCACATGATTGTTTAATATGGTAGGCCTGCTTATGTTTGCTATATAGTCAACTCCAACTTTAAAGGAAACAGCATGAAATACTACTCACTTGTGCTTTCTCACACACATACATAATCTCTTGTTGCACTAGGTAACTGCTTTGTTAAAATGTGCAGCATGAGTCTGTAAATGGGGATGGTTTGATTTAGAGAGTGCTGCTCATGGGCTGGTAACCAGGCACTGGAGCAGGAGCTGGTGTACTGTGCAAATCTGCAAATTCTTGCACAGCTCCCTCAGCTCTGTTGCCTGTATCTTTGGCCCATGTGGAATTTGTATACAGGTGCAGAAGGAGGAATATTCAAATTCAGGTCATACCAACACTAACATTGTAAAATTAAGGAAAACCTCCTGCTGTACTCCACACATCAGTCTCTTGCTTCTGGCAGTCTAACATTGAACTGGGATGTATTATCTTCATGATCTCCCTTATTCAGGTCTCAAAAATCTTTGGAGACACACATCTGAACCCAGGAAATCACACTGCTTATTGAGAGGCAATCAAACACACAAGGAGGTTCTGAGTGTCTGCATAGCTTCGTGTTTACAAGGGGAAGCTGTGCACTTCAGGTGCAGCCACGGAGCTGTGGAAGGCAAAGCCAGGCCATAGCTGCTCAACCAGCCACTGTAGGATGGCATGTGCACGGGCTTTCAACAGGTGACGAGAGTAATCTCATGCACAGGACTTCTTGGCTACCAACACATGCAAATATCTGATGCACAGAGGCTTTGTCAGCCTCTCCAACAGCTCCTGAGTCACTGTGTGTGAGCAGCTTGGATAACAGCTCTCACCAGCGAGGTGCACCGGCAGTTAAGCACAAGCAACCATCAACATGCTGCTCTGAAGCTCAGGAGTCAGCCTGTCGCATATTGAAACCATCTACAAATCCAGCAGACTTGCTGGAATGACAGTTTACACTGTTCACGTGTTTTTTAAATTATTCTCATTCTTTAGCATGCGGAGGAAAATGAAGCCACATTTTCCTTAACAATTGCTGTTCCCGCCTTGCTGCGTGTCACAGCCCTCTGGGGTGACATTGGAAGCACTGACCTTGGATGTTGCTGCAGTGGCATTACTTTCCTTACTATTCCCTGGTGCACTCTCCTCTTCTGTTGCTGCTGTTGGGGCTTCTGACTTCTTTGCACTTGTTTCCAGAGAAACAGGACTCCCTACTTTCCCCAGCCCACTCACTGGGGTTGAGCTTGGACTGCTTGGTTGCCGTGACTGAGACTTATACCAGCTAGGGTAAAACAAGGGATCCGTGGTTTCTGCTGTGGCTGGCATTTGAGTGTCAGATTCTGGGGTCTGCTGAGAACCACCTGGTGTCACAACCACATCCTTAATCAGGACAGATAAAGAGAAGAACAAGCAGAGTGCACCACGTTACCTTTCCTGCTGCAGTCAAATTGTTCTGTGTGTTGTGTTTGTTACATATCACTGCAAGGCATAGATTTGTCCTAGTATATGGTCTGAAAGAATTGCAATCGAAATGCAAAGCAAAAGCAACTATCACTTGAATAACACAGACAAGGGAAAGAAAATAAATTAGAAAAATAGAACAGGAGGGTAGAACTAGCAGGGAGGGGAGGGCTGACTGAGAATAGAGTGAAAAAGAGGTTCTTTAATTAAGATAAATGCCCAATTCAACTCTAAAAACACAGGAAATTCTGCATAAGAACCTCATAAACCCATACCAGCCATTCGTGGCTGGTGTAGGTACTTTCAAATGGCTTGTTGGGTTTTATGTTAAGAACAACACCTTTACCAATGAGTATTATAGGAGAAGTCAGAACAAGGTGAATGCAAAGACACTGGAGAGAAACACTTGCCCACCAGCCTTGCCATCAATGCTATAAGCCGAGCACAGTTGCTCTGCCAGGAAGAGGAACAGCCATCTGAACTGCACCTCTCTACATGCATCAAGTTCTTGGGGTTCCCACACGTGCTACCTGCTGTCCCCACAGCATTTCTGCTTTTCTTACACCAGAAGGCAAAAGCTGAAATACAGATATCTCTCACACCATAACACCTACATGCCATGTCTGATTCCACATCTGACCATCTCCTAATGGCACTTTACAATTGCTAGAGCAGCATGCTGTACCTTTCTCATTTTAACCTTTAGCACTTAGAAGTGAGATAATTCATGTTATTGGGCAGAATTTCTTATGTCTTGTTCTTGTTTGCCTAAAACCCTACATCAGTTTAGGAACATAAGTTTGGTTAAGCCAGTGCAAATCCTGAAAAGACAAAATTTGGTTAAATCAATAAAACCTCATTTAAGAGCATCTTCACACAACTGGTGAAAACACACACATGTTTTTAGATCAAAGCAAGAATGAGTCTATAGTATTTGTTTTCCCATATTTTATGTGGTAGGCTTGCTACAATCAAAGATCCTTTATGTGTTTTCTTGATTTCATATTGGCCTCCTCAAATATCTTCACAGCAGCCTTTATCACTCAGCAACTTCACTGGGTGAATTGCATAAGAGGAGAATTTGCCAATTAATTGTATGCAAGGCAAGCTAAAGTAGCACATTAAGTATATTTATAATGTAGGTATTTTAGAATATGTGGCAATTATGCTCTTATTCTAATCACATTCCCTAAGAAAAAGTACTGGCCTAAAATATTCACACCCTGAGCCTGTTTGCTGCTAGATTGTAAAAGGCAGTTACCTCTCCTCTTTGGTGTATGATATTCCTGCATCCACCTAGACATATACCTAAGATGTCCAGAGCAGAAGGCAGCAAACATCGTTCACAGAAAACAGATTAGAGATTTAGATTTCCACCATCTAAAAATTGATGGTGGAAAGCTCACTAAATCCAGGGGGAATGCCAACTTCTCTTAGTATAAATATTTTAACAACTGTCCCATTTACAACAGTTAGTCTGAGTTAAACCACAGCAGAATGTCCATTGTAACACAATTAACTCCCAAATAGAATCACTTTTATTTATAACTTATGTATCCCATACATATCTTAATTTATCTAGCAGCTAATTTTTTGCCTACCAAGTGATATATATATATGCAGGTCGAGAGGACAGGGTAAAGCTGCATATATGTGTACAAGGGCAATAAACAATTTTGCTCTCCAGTGCATTGATTCCCTTAGCCTGCTCCTGACCTATAGTGCCTACAGGCCATAGGGGAGCATTTTCTTGCTCTGCCATGCACACTCAGCATAGCTGGCAGGGAAGGAAAGACACTCACCTGACCAGCTGGGGCAGCAGGTAGTGACACTGGAGTGGGTTCAGCCAGGGGCTCTCCTGCTGCACTCTGCAGTTTAGGGTCTTGCTGAGGTGGCTGTGATGCTCTCTCAGCCTCTTCCTCCTCCACCTCTTCCTCCTCTCCCTCCTCTCCAGATGACTCTGTGTGGACTTCATCCAAACCTTCACCATCCTCTGTGCCCTCCTCTTCTTCTCTCTCCTCCTCTGATAGGACATGTGTAAAAAGACAGGGTTGAGCACCATGTGAAGATGGCTACAGTTTCTGTGTAATTAAAAAGCCACTTGCAATTGCATTGCAAAGCCACTGATAATCTGCTGCCTGGCAGAGAAGGTATTGGTGAGGAACCTGCTTCCACCAGCCTGGACTGGGCACTGCCATAAGGCTGCCAGCAGGTGCTTTGTGGAAGGGAAGAAACTGAACACACCTGTTGGTTAAAACCTAAAGCTGCCCCTTTCCATGTGAAGGAGTACAGAAACTCCTGCCAATGCAGTTATCCTCATGAGGGGTGTGCAGCATGGCCCTGCACTTTCTGGGGAGAGGATACCCAGGATGTGGCACGATCTGCCAGGAAAAAAGCCCCTCTTCCAATTCTAGGTATTAAACACCACTGAACCTGTCATCATAAACATTTACCAGGCCAGTGCTTTGCAACACATGACTGGAGGTTTGGGATACCAACATCCCTAAAACCAGGGGATGTCAAACTTGGTCATACCATTGCCTTTGTGCCAAGATAACATTAATGGTGCCAACAGGTTATGTTTTGGTTTTTTTTTAACCGTGATGGATTTTTGCTCCTGATTACAATTGATACAAAATGCTCTGGTTACATTTCAGGATGGAGAGAAATATCCAATTCAAGGTTTCCTACTCTGTATCATTGTGTAATCACACACAGCTGCAAATTAAGAAAGCAATTTTGGTGAAATAAGTGACATACCTCTGTCAAAATCAATTTCTCGTATTATCTTTTCTTCTCTACTGAGGTTCACTGTGAATTGATTCATAATTTCATACCCATCCTCTATTTTTTCCATTTGAAATCCTTTAGAAGCTTCAGTAATTCTAAAACAGAGAAATTGGTTATTGCCATTTGGATTTGCAGATAAATTTATGATTTGTAATTGATTATAAAGAATAAGAGTCTAAAGTTTAAATACTTACTTTTGTAGCAATGTTTTGGCATTCTGTGAAAACAAAAAGGAAATAAGTGACTTCTTAAATGGTTCCATTTTTTCAGAGACTTTATGCATTGAGATCTAATTCTTACACTGGCTACTTCTAAATGCACTAATATGGATCTCATTAATGACAGCCACGACGTCTATGAATGAGATCAAATTTGGATGGTAGTTAGTATACAGCTGAGTAAACCTTTTAGTTAGTTGAAGACTTTTTAATTAAAATCTGAATATCATGGGAAATACGTACAATTGTTAAAAAGAAACAAAATGGAAATACTTTTCCTCTTTTTTTGGTGTGCTTGTGGTGAAAAGCAATTGTTCCATTACCGTCTTTAGTCATAGTAACTATATCTTTGACTATCCATAAGGACATACTTCTGGAGGGACAAAATTCTGTTTGTCTTGAGAGATTATTGTACTCTTCAAAGGCAATTCTTTGACAAAAAGAAGCGGAGTTTGTGTTGGTTTGTTTTGGGGTTTGGTTTCTTTTTGTTAGTTTGGAGTTTTTGTTTTGTTTTGTAGAAGACACCCTTCCAGCTTCTAATATAGAGGAATTGTAAACTTGCAAGACAGAAATTCTACACCAATGAATTTAGTGGACAGGTTGCTAGCGGTTTCCTACTCATCTCTCCTAAGTTTATAGTAAGAAAACAGAAGAAAAAAGTTAAACGAAGGTATAAAAATGTAACTTAAACCATAAATATTTAGTTCTTGAAACATTAATCACTTTGTCAATATGCAAATGAAACCTATAATTCACAGAAATTCATGTGCAAATGAACACCATGATATTAATGGAAAAATAAAGATTTGTTGGAAAATGTTTAAATTCCTGTTTCTTCTCTGGGATCAGAAATTCATTCGCGGGACAGTATATTTTGGTGCAAATAGCAAATACTCATGTTCTAGATTTGGATACTTTTCACAAGAAGACTAGATGTTTGTCTGAGCTGATTCAAATGTTTACAAAATGAGTTCATATAACTGTTCACTTAAAGATAACCAAACTCTGAATGGGTCTAAAATTGAGAAATGCTTAAATAGTGTATCAATAAACCTATCATTCTTGTTGTATCTCTATTTATAGACTTTATACCTGCAAAAACACGGCCATTTCTGGTTCTTCCATGAACTGGATTCCTGATTCAACCAGTTTTGACACAGCTTCCAAATGATCCGCATACTTCTTCATCAGGGAGCGGACGTGTTCCAGTTTCTCCTCTTGGGTTCTAGTGATTATTTGTGTCATCTCATTTTTCCTTTCTTCCAATACAGAGTAGAGATAATCAAATTTTTCGCACAACTGTTCTTTTTGTCGTCTGCAGCATTCCTGTGAATCATTTGGTTTATGTTAAACATGTTATGTTCTTAAAAGAGTTTCTATTTTTATAGTTACTTGGAAGCATTTTCATCAAAGAAATTCCTCTTTCTGAACAGCGCAAAGGATTCTGAATGACCCCAGAGACTTTTATAATTTTCAAAGTCCAAGCTATTGGAACAAAAGTTCAAAAACTGTTCTCAAACTATGAATTTCAAGCCACTGAAAGCCCCCAAACAGGTTATTGTATAACTTGTCAGTCTGCTAAAAAGTGTAAAAGGTATTTGTGATGTCTGCAGTGATACATCAAAGTCTGCAGAAAAAGTAAAAGCCCCCACCGTATTAGAAGTGGGTTCCTTTGCGTGAACAGAATGGTTTTAAAAGGAGTGGTCATCTCAAATCAGCTCTGGAGAATTTTATTTTTCTTCTGAGTGCCTGGAACAACCGTGGCTGGGCTTGATTCTCACATATGCTCTCTAAGACTCTATTTGGACAATAGGAGTCCGTTATATTCCATTTACTGTGCACTGAAAGAAGTAGAAGTTCTGTGAAGAAAATGGTGTGTGACAGAAACACAAAGGAAAGAAAGAGGAATCAGGTTCCAACCCTAAGTTCAGGCACCGATTTTCACATCTTTTTTTTGAGACATTTTTATTGTCCTTCCAACCAGACAACAGCATATTTCACCAGTAAGGAGGATGGGTTTGATGACTGCTGCATTGAGCACTCTCTAAAGAGCACAAACTGCACTTGTAAGGGAGGATTTATAGGGAGGAAATGGAAGACAGGTTATGTATAACGTCTGAAGTCTACCAAACCCAAGTGCTTGAGAAACCTCTGTGCCCCAGGGCATACCCTTATTGTGGTTATACCTGGTTGTGAATGGTGGTGATTATTTAAATCTCTTTTCTAGGAACTGAGGCTGAATCAATTCCTCATCTTTGTCCCTTGGGGCATAATGCTGAGATCCTGGCAGCACAGGATTATTAACAGTCTCACAGTACTTTTGGAAGTGATAATACTGATTATTCATAGCACTTAGCCAGATAGAATCCCACTTTGTTCTTGCCTTTCAGTCAGAGCTCATTCCTATGAGTGGTGACAATCTGCTCGGTATTGTTCAAAGAAGAAAGACTTCTGAGGATGTACATTTGGCCAAAAATCACTGTCTAGGTTTAGGGGCTTAGGGAGTGAATAAACATCTTGTTGCATTGAACCAAATATCCACCCCTGCTTCCCAATGAGAAAGGCTAGGCTAAACAGGCAGTCCCAATTTAAAATTCCTTGCAGGGGGTGCAGGCTTTTCCTGCCCTTCTGGAGGTTCTTACCACTTTCCAGAAATTCCTGATTAATGTAATTATAGGGTGGGGTTAAGGAAGTTTTCAAGCCAAGTGAGTCATTGTTCCTAGGTGTCATTCTATTGTTTTGACCTCAAATAATTCTCTTCTTTCACTCTCTCCTAGCTTTCTCCTTGTGAAATGTCATTCAGATCACTTGTAAAACAACCTTGATTTCAAGACAGGTGTGTGCTATCTTTGTCATTTGACACAGGACAAATGTTAGAGGAAGAAGAGCAAGCAAGTGATAGCAGGGTGCTCTGAGAGATCCTTCCCTATCTCTAAGCTCTAATATATAATATTTACTGCCAGCAGATATTACAGAGTTGTGAATCTCCAGAGTGAGAGTGCAAAGCAGATTCCTAACTGCAAATGCTGAAATATTTCTGAAATATTATCTTTCTGCATAAAATGTTCCCATACAAAGTCTCTGCATGACGGAATTACCCTAATCAGATTCTGTGTAATGAAGAAGGTTAACAAATACATGACTTTACATTCTAAAAAGTTCCCAGCCTTTATGTTTTTTTTTAAAGCACAGATACAGCAAAAAGAAAGGAGTCCTTGCTACTGAGCATGAGTCTCACTGCTTGTTCCAAAGGATCTCTGCTGACTGGCCTATGCTATTAGCATTTGAAAGAAACACTGTAATTTTTCCTTCTTTATTTTACTCATATCATTTACAGGGCTAAACAGTACTTAATTATTTATTACAGTTTTCCAGCTTTTAGCATTTTATATTCCTTTCTCAATTTTCAGCATAATATATGGATTTGGTCTACCTTTCAATCAGTTAAAAGCTATACAAGTATTGATCAACTTTTTGGTTTTCTTGTTTTTCTGGTTTTTTTAGGTTTGGATAAGAGCAATAGCTAAATATAGAACTATAGGCTATTACTTACTCCATCTAAAAAGAAAATGATCGTGTATTTTCTGCTAAAGTAGATATTTATTGCTCTCTGCCAAGTGTTAAGCAGAGAGAAGAGACAATCCTGGATTATAAGCATTATTTCCGTGTGTGAACATTTCTCAGTTCCAGCTGTAGCTTTTTATCTTCAAGGACAAACTGATGTCAATTCAGACAAAGCTCTTGTATGGCAGGAAATGTGATTTGCTTGAAATATAACATGGAAGTGCCAAGGTAAACTCTGAGACCTATTTTGTGCAATCTTTGGCTTTGAAGGTGAAAAACCTGCTAAAACATCTGAAGGTAAAATGGCTGCATTTTCTTTGGGGTTTCCCTTTAAAGGTTAGACTTTAAACTAGTAGATGACTCTGAGGAAGCTAGTTCCAGACACTGCTGTGTTTCTCAAGGTATTTTTAGCACAATATTTTCTCCATACTTCATACTAGATGTTTGAAGCTTCGTTTCTGGTTCAGCTAGTTCAGCTTAAATGAGTGCAAGCTTTTACTTTTGTATCATTCAAATTTCTGCAGTTAACCTACTTGAAAAGCTTGTTTCTGTCTGCAAAGTCCTGATAGCAGCCAGTTTCATCCTTGCAATGTGAATCCTTCCTGATTACAAAGTTTTGACTGCCACTAACGTGCTCTATGATTTACTTGGGCTAACAGTTTTATGTTCTTTAAACCAGACTTGGACAATTTTTGTTCTTCCTTACTCGGAGGAAACAGGAGCCTTGGGTGATTGTGTACATAGGTTGTGTAATCAATTTTTCTTACCAATTAGAATCTATACATTTTGGATTAACTTCTTTTTCTCTACCATTTCCCTTTTCTGCTCCAGCTCTGAGGGGTCAATATAATTCTAATTGGGCTGAGAGGGATGTGGTTCCTTCACTAGATGCTTCATCAAACTGACCACAAAATCAATTCATACGAGCTCCTTTCAGCCTATTGCTCTGTGATGCTCAAACTGGTTAAAGTTGATACTCCTCTCGGAGGAAATGAAAGCCACTTCTGCTCTTGAATGACACAAAACTAATTCTAGCTCTTTCAGAATGAGGACTCTATCAGAAAATCCAGTAAGAATCCAAACTGTTCCCTCCCATAAGCACTAAAACAAGACTCCTTAAAGGACAATGTAAGTATATTAAAACACTACTTCTGTGCAGAAGGCAAAGCAATACAGAGCTCAGACATACCTGTGAGCCATGCTGTGCCTACTCTCTGGCATAGAATAAGGCTTTGTTCACAGGACCAGTCAGGCTTCAGTCTAATGCTGGTCATTTATGGCTCTAGAACTGTTAAATGAGCTGGGAGTTGATGGCATTTTACTGGATCTGCTTTTAACTTCAGTGATATCCTATTCCACTAAGAATGTTGAGCAAGACGTGCTGATATGATCCAGCCTTACTCTTTATCCTCCACCAATGGCCAATGTCAGAGGCGCTGAGCAGGATGTTGGTTGAGGTAGTACATCTTGATAATGTACAAAGCCACAAGTAATGGTTTAGTGACACAATGTGGGAATGTATTTGGGTAAAGTGAGGTCTGTTAAAGCATGGTTATTACCAGAAGTTTAAAAGGTCGGACTTCACACTGAAATAGCTGCATTTAAAGAGGTGGTACCTACCTCAACTGTCTTGCAGGTCTCCTCCAGCTGTGTGACTATTCCTTGCACTCTGTCATTGCTCCCCACCAGGACTGCAATGCCATCACTCAGCTCAGACTAGGCAGTAAGGGGAGAGCAAGCAGGAGGGTGTTAGATACTGTCCCACTTAACGGTGGCACATGTAACATTGGGGAGCAGGAGACAAATAAGCCATACCAGGGTATTAGCTTGTCTTTCCACCAAAACTGAGGAAAATTGGAGCTTTATGTGCTCATGAGATACCTGCTAGTACTTTGACATTTGTTTCCTCTCCCAACACACTATGAAAAAATTAACATTTTTAAACTTTTAATTGAGAAGAAACTGTGGGTTTTGGAACTTTTATTTCAGAAGAAACTGGAGAGAAGGAAGCACTTTGTTTTAAGAAAATCTTCTAGATACTTTTGTCTGAAGCCTTGTTTCAACAGACCCAAAATATTTTATTAGGTTTGTAGAGAGAAAAGGCTTTGTCTCTTAAGGGGTTGTTTTTTTCAGTGTCTGGGTCTAGTCACACCACAATGGTATTTCCATGAGGATTGTAGCACTTGGCCTTGGAGACGAGAAGAGCTAGTCCATGGACCTGGAGGGACCAGGCTGTTACTGAGTCGTTGGCATGTGAGCAGTGGAGTTAGGGCTGTGGTGAGAGGGGAAGGAGAAAAGGAGGAGAAGAAGGTGGAGGCTGAGCCACTGGTGCAAGGGAAATGAGTGGAGGAAGGAAATGACATGAGTGTGGGTATGAAGAAGACTGTGAGGTATCCTTAGGAGAGAGAGAGATGCTAGTCCCTAGGGAACTTGGGGAAAGTGCTGGAGAGGACAAAGGGCCCTTAGCACACCACTGTAGTAAGAGACAACTGTGTACATGGCCTCCACAGCTTTGTAAAGGATCCTTTGAAGCACACATCCTGCAGCCTCCAGGTTACCCCTCCCGTCTTGGGCATGACAGCCTCTTCTCACAGGCACTCTGGTATCAAAACTACAGCTTGCAAATCTCCAGGCAAAAGGAGTGACTGGGGGCATGGATTCAGTCCAAGAAACTTCTCCTCCTTCTCCCACCTATTTTGATTGAAAAGGATGTTTGTAACTACTTTCCTGAAGTGATTTCTCATTTGTAGTTTCTACACACACACATCTGTGTGACAAAGTTGGAGGCTGGGATTGCAAACTTGGCCTGTCTGATTGCTTGCCCCACTGGGGCCCTCCAGAAAAATGAGCTGTTTATCTCAGGAGGATAACCCAGTGAGTCAGGTTTTAAATTAATACTGTATTAAAAATAAACAAGTCTTTTACTGGTGACAGCAAGGGCAGAGGATGTTAGGTACATCCTGTGCTGCCAACTATTGAATATTCCTGCATTCACTTGCAGGAAGAGGTTTTTCACTTAACTTTTCTTAAAAATGGAATGCTTAAATGTAAAAGTGCCTGATAGATAACTACTTGATTTGAAATGGTCTGTTCTCTTTCCAGTTCATGTGTTGGACATACCACTCACTTGTCTGATCTAAAAGCACTGAAAAAAAAGTGTTAGGAACATCAAAAGAGAGATCCTCAGCTTCACATCAAATTGCTTTCTAAAATGTTTAGTCACTATAATAAAAAAATTGCGACAATGTAATACCTTTCTGTGTGATCTCTCCTAAATTTATTTTTCTGTGTTTCCAAACAGTTCCTGCAGATTTACAAGAGCCTTTCACTCACATACAGGAGTGGCTAAGGCATCCCCAAACCCTTTTGTAAATTCGCAGGAAGCCCATGGGAATAATCTCCTGTTGATGGTTGCTGGGAGGACTATGAGATACTCGAAGATATTTACCTTCTGCTGCTGGTAAACATTTGTGAGAGGAGCAACTTGACAGTCTTTGTGGGCACCAAAGACTTTGCACAAGGAGCAGGTGGGCATTTCACAGTTCAAACAATAGATATTAATTCTCTCATCTTCATGCTCTTCACACATTGGCTGGTCACATTTCCTTTCAGGTCTGCAAAAGAAAAAAAAGTTTAAAACAAACTTTGTGCTCATGGGTTTCTGATGACAACACTTATGGTATTAGCATGAAATACAGTACATTTGAATAGCAGCATCCAAAGTTGACTTGAATACACAGCATAGACTTAAACCTGCTCTGTGGTACGACTAAATAGACAGTGGTACAGCTTAAGTCCTGACCCAGTGATGACAATATAGCAATATGACTTCATATGGGGATTCCCATATGAATGAGGAATGAGACTCGGAGTGTGACAAAACTCTTGCTCATATTTAAAAATTTAAACAACCTCACTAAGCCTGATTTCAGACTACTCATGTATTTTAATTGGCATGTTATCTAACAACTGTCTGAAATATGAAACATACCTAATTTCTTTCTGGTTCATCATGCAAAATATTGGGCACTTGGCCTTAATGCAGCAAAGCTCTTACGAAGGGTCTTGTTTGAAGCAAGAGTTGTAGATACTGATGAACCTTTAGGCCCTCAACTCTGTATCTCTGCTGATGAACTTTGAGACATTGGTCAGGATTATCAATACCAGACAGGACTAGGTCCTTAAGCCTTTAATATAGGCCAGCAACCAAAAAAAGGTGTCACACAAATTAATTTTGTGGCCCATGTTTAGCTTATACAGTGTCAAACGATTTAATAGTAGGATAGTCAATTGTACCCATCACAAAGAGCTTGGCTTACACACGAATGCTAAGCCAGGAACTGTCACCACATAGCTCCGTCCTGATCTTCCCTTCCCCAAAACGATTTAGCTGTATACACACAAGTCTACACAACCTGCTATTTTGGGAACTAATTTAGTTGCAGGTTCCTTCAAATGAGCCACTTGGCTGATGTTCCCATGCAAGTGAGACCTCTGGTTTGGTGCACGTGGGCAGGGTGGTGCTTTTCTGAGTCATGCTTCAGGCTTAACACCCTGAGCACCTCTGTGTCAAGCACATGAGTGTATGATGATGTGGCACCAGAAGACAGAGTCAGTAGATTGATAGAGAGAGTGTGTCTGGGTGTTTAAGCTTCCAAAAGCTGACACTTCTACTGTGGCAATGTTCAATATTTCCAGCATAAACCATTATCCCCTTGTGCTGGTTTAAAAGTTAACCAGCAGGGGGAATGAACTCAACTCAAAGGAGAGATTATAAGTCAGAATAACAATTTATTAAAATAATACAGTAAGTACAATAATACAAACAAACAATTGGTCTCAACCCACAAAAACCCAAATGTATAACCCAGTACCCTGGGGCATGAACAAAGTGGTGTTCCTTGGGCCCTGTTTGAGTCCAAAGTAAAGGGAGAGGGGAAGAACCTGCTGGTGGGAGAGCTGCTGCAGTCTGGCCAGAACTGGTGATCGCAGTCCAGTGGTGGTCTAAGTCTGGTTGAGAGCGATGAGATGCAGCCGTCCTCTGGATCCCACGAGTGGGTTGAAAAATGTTCCAAAACTCCAAGATTATATATCCTCCAGTTCAGGCAGGAATGCTTGGTACTCCCCTCAGGGCGGGGAGTTTCACAAAGGGTGTGAGGACAGAAACATCCTCCTATCTCACAGGCCTCTTAACACCTAGTTTATAGCCTGAGGAGTCAGGCTCTATGGGCAGAGGGTGCGAATAGTCTATTGACAACAATAGTCTAGTTTCTGGGAAATGACATGGAAGGCTATAGAATACAGTTTTGGGTTACACCCACCATGATGAACTGATCTCAGCTGTCCTAACTAGGACACCCCTTCTGCTACTGTTTAGAAGGGGAACTATGACTTAGATGTAGCAAGTGGAACAATAAATATAACAATGGAACAATGGAACAATAAACATAGAAATGTATCTTTCCATCATTAGATAGAAAATATTTTCCTAAACTATAGAATTTAGTGGAATTACATGGGAACATTTTTTAAAGCCATTCTATAGAGGTCTGTAGCAAGGAGGCAACCAGTCACTCTATTAAAGCTTAAAAATGTATGGAAAAAGCATTATTTTATATTATATTACAGTAGAGTTTTTCCATACAGCTTGGTAGAGTCGATATGGCATTTATTTTTTAATGATAAAGTACAGATTTTTCTCTTCTGAAGGGAATGGAATGTGATCAGTTAGATGCATTTTAAAAAAAAGCAAGAAAGAAAACGTCTCACGCATTCTTTTTTTTTTTTTTTGTAATTCAAGAGGGCCCTGGGATTTAAAGGGATCATTAGGAATATCTGTAATCTGAAATATAACACCATATACCAGAATAAAACAAGTTGAACACTTCTGAAGGACTCCTATATTATTCGGTCTCCTCCATAAAAAATGCTTTACATTGTTTGCAGATGACTGCAAACAGCCCCTAATATATTCACATTATAGTGCACAGTGGGAGTGCCCATGTGTGAGGGCAATATAATGAATTTCAAAGTGATTAATTAAGCCTGAAATAGTGTCTCTCCCTGCAAATATTTACTCGACCGGAGCCAGAAGCTACTAGAATTTTATTGGACACTGGAGTGGTGCCAGTTGCATGAAAGACACATTGCACAGAGCAAAAAGGTGACGGTGTCAGGCAAGTTCAGCCAGAAGCAGACAACCTTCAAAGGTGCCGCAGAGAGCTGGAAGAAACCTGGCAGAACTCCCTGAACTAGTGGGGCCCTGAAGACAGTGTCAGAAGACTAGAAATAAACAGATTTAGTCTCCTTTAGGCTGTGCAAAAGGAGAGATTTTTAGCACAACATTCTTCAGTGACTTCAGAGGGGATCCTCTAGGTCTATGTTGGTGTAGCAAAGGCCAAAACACAATCTCTAAATTTAAAATGGAGATTGCTTCTGAAAGAGGAGAAGATTAAAGAGTAGCTGATGGGAAAATTGCAGCATGGCTTTAGTAAGAGAAAAGCTTCACCACAGCTGTGATTGTGACCAAAGAAATGGCAGGTTGCTGAAATGTTCTGATAGCTTTATGGTCTCATTCTTAGACTCTGCTCTTTGAGATGCAAAGCCTGTGTTTGACTGCTACAGGCTTATTCTTTTCCATTAAAACTTGGTTTGGACATTAATGTGCAGAGTGTTGTGTGTGTTTTATGGAGAGGAGGATTCTCAGGTAAGTAATGACTGGTAAGGCCACACCTGGAGTACTGGCTGTGTCTAGTTCTGGACTCCCCAGTACATGAGAGATATTGACATACTGGAGAGAGTCCAGCAAAGGGCCCTGAAGATGATTAGGGGTCTACAGCAGCGTTCCTGTGAGGAAAGGCTGAGAGAGCTGAAACTTTCAGCCTGGATAAGAAAAGGTTAAGAGGAATCTTAATAATGACCTTGATCTTACCAACACATTTGAGTGTCTAAATACCTGAACAGAGGGTGTAAGGAGGATGGAGTCAGGCTCTTTCTGATAGTGCCCGGTGCCAGAACCAGAGGCAACAGGCACAAACTAAAACACAGACTGAAACTGTTCCTTCTGAACATCAGGAAACACTTTTTTACTGTGAGAGTGACTGAGCACTGAGACAGATTTCTCAGGGAGGTTGTGGAGTTTCCATCCTTGGAGATACTCGTAAGCCATTTGGATATGGTCCTGGGCAACCGGCGCTGGGTGGTCCTGCTTGAGCAGGGGTTGTTTGGACCAGATGACCTCCAGAGAGAGGTCCCTTCCAGTCTCAGTCATTCTGTGACTCTGATTTGGTGAGGAAATGCACAGTTGCTGAGCACATAAAGAAGCACACTTTAATTAAGAACATAACTGCTGTTTAGTTAGAAGGTGTGCTTTCCTCAGGATTTTTTCAAATCCAAAAAGGTCCCTGCTGTAGTCCTGAATCCAACTTTGATAGTGTTTTTACTTAGGATCCTAAGATAGCTGTAGCCCTTCCTGTACCATCACATCACCTAGTGTCTGCAGCTGGTCAGGGGATGAAGAGAATCTGCATGACTGTATGAGGCACATTATGTAAAGTCATTAGTTATTAAACTCGGTATCAATCTTGGGCATACAGCACTTATGACTGGTCTCCACCTGACTTCATACTGCTCACCATAACCCTTTGAGTCTGGTAGTACAGGCAGTTTTCAGTCCAGTTCACTCTCCACTGTCCAGTCTAGACCTTATTTCAACAGTTTGCCAATATAGATGTCACAGGAGACAGTGCCTAAAGTCTAGATAAACAACATCCTCTCATGCATGGAGTTAGTCATCTCACCATAAAAGGCTATAAGATTGGTTGGGCTGATTTCTTCTTCATAAATCCATACCAACCATTTCTAATCACCTTCTTGTCTTTTACATATTTGAACAGAGTTTCCAGGAGGATTTGCTTGAAATACTTTCTAGGGACAAGTGTGAAGATGACCAGCCTGTAGTTCCCCAGATTCTAGTACTTGCACTCCTTGAAGATTGGAGGAACATTTGTTTTCTTCCAGTCCTGTCCAACCCCAGAAAACTATCCCAATAATCACAACCTTTCAAAGATTATTGAGAGTGACCTGGCAATGACATCAGTCAGCTCCCTCACTACTTGTAGATGCCTCCCATCAGCATCTACAAAAAAATTTCCAATTTTTTTTTTAATATTCTCTAACCTGATCCCCCTCCACCAAAGGTAAATCTTCCTTGCTCAAGACTTTCCCACTGGTCTCAGGGTCCTGGGATTCCTGAAGACTGAACTTGTTAGTAAAGTTTGAGGCGAAGGTGGCATTGAGCATCTTGGCATTTCCCATTGCTTTTGTTACATGAGACCCTCCTCCATTTAGCAGTGAACTCACACTTTTCCCATTCTTCCTTCTGCTGCTGATGTACCTCATTAAGCTCTTTTTAGCCTTCATGTCCCTTGTCAGATTCAGTTCCAAATAAGATTTGGTTTTTTTAACTTCATCTGTACATACTTGGACAGTGTCTCAAAATCTTCCTGAATCACCTGTCCACCTTTTTTATGCTTCTTTTTCAAAGTTCTATTTTTATCAGGAGCTCCCAGTTAATCAATGCAGATACCCTGTCACCATTGCTTGAGTTCCTGTATACGGGGATAGACCATTTTTGACCTTGGAGGAGGTGGTCCTTGAAAATCAATCACAACAAAAGCAGTGAAAAGCCCACCAATACCCAGGGTAGAAATGGGACTTGAAAAATGAGAAGACTATAGAAGTTCATGTGGACATAAGGATTCCTCTAACTCTGTTACAGTAGTATCATGAATGCCTGGCCCAAGAAAACAATTGGTGCAGCTGAGTTTGGGGCTTTGTGTCCGTGGGGAGTAGGAGAAGATCCAGGTCATCTCACTCCTCATCTCTTTCACTGCACAGCCTGTGGGGCTCCTCCTGCAGCTCCCTTTCTTGGTGACCTGTGGTCAGAGGGCTCCTTTCCCTGGCCCAGCCTGTCTGAGATCTCCAGACACCTCTACAGTCTGCCTTGGAGAGCCACATCTTCCCTTGGGAGCTCAAACTAAGACCTCGGAGGGGTCAGGGAGAGCTGCTTCTGGCAGTTCTGTCTGCCCAGCCCCACAGCCCATCCATCACTGCCTTCACAGAGCCCACACAGGTTGACTCTCAGCACACTGCCTGGTCCCTGCTGCACACTATGGGGCTGAAGGGACAGACTGTACCTTGGGTTCTCCCTGGTAGGTGCAAGGCAGAGAGTGCTTGACCCTCCCTGATCAGGATTCAACTGGTAACAAAGCCCACAGTACCTTTTGATGTGGAACAGCCAGCCGAGCTCATTAGAGGTTGCCAGGTTTTACAAAAAGCCACAGCCTCCTGTTGCTACCCTTTTCTAGTAGCAGCAGGCATCCTGATGTTCCTCAGATAGTTCAGGTGATCAGTGGCCTACAGACTTTCAAAGATTGGTTTAATTTTTAGCCAACCCAATTTCCACTGGGTTCAGTCCTTTGCCATCCTTTAAAGCTTTGTAGGAGCCACCACCTGCTTGAAGATTTCTTCCTTGTGTTGCTAATACATTCTAAATTGGGCGACAGGCTATGCTGCCATCAGCTGGAATTTGATGAGCAATGGGATAAAGGACCATATGATGTGATACTCAGTAGATCTGCATGTGATGGCTCAGGCAGACCCTCCCAACCCCACAGCCCAGTGCCTGCCCCAGCTTTTATTTAGAAAAAAACAAATTCCCTAATTCAAATATAAATTCCAGTTCCAAACAAACCAACAAAAAACTCCAAACACCAAAAAACTTTTGAAGTAAGCTATTTTTGTCTAAGCAGGAGGAAAGGCTCGTTACCTAAATGAATTCCCCTCACTCTCCTAAGTTGATGCAGCTGGCACATGTAGCTGTAGTGAATTATACCCACAGAAGGACTCAAGGGGAAGGGGTTCTTATCTGAAAATCATGGGTGCTCCCATGAAGGAGGAAGGGTTGTCTTGGGAATAAACAAGGAGGTAAAGATCACATCTCATCCTTCTTCCTATGTACCTCTGCCAGACCCCAATCATCAGTATGGAAGAGACAGGTACAAAAGGGGGAAGTGGAGAAGACTTGATTTCCGTGGACTTTTTGGTTTCAGTGGGACAGCACAGGGTAAAGCCATCTTACTCACACTCTCAGGGGAGCCCTAGGAATCTTAGGCAGAGGGAGATAAGCAGCTGAGGCCTGTAAAGGGCCAAATACTTTAGATAATGCTGCTATGCATTGCTGCTGCTACATAATCCTAACAGTAACTTTCATTCTAAGGACATACATGAAGGTTAAATGAGCACCTTAACGGATTAAGTAAATGAACCATTTGGACAAATATATAAGAAAATATGTGTTTATATATTTTTTTTCTATTCTCCCTTTTTATTCATCACGTGTTTTATTTCTGTGGAATTTTAAACAAATCTACTAAATCTATTCTTACATTTCTGTTTAATTGAATTTCGTTCCAATTGCTCATGAATTACATGGGGAAAAGGAGCTGTATTTCTTTGTTTTTTTTTAAGTTAAATACAACTGTGAGCTGAAAAATAAAGCAAAACCAAGGAAGACATGAGGCCACACATGTCCAGTTTATTTGGTCAAAAGCCAAGTCCATCATCGTAGCTTTGCTGATTAATTTCCTCTGAGATTTTCCTGACTAAAATAATATTTGGGTATCAATGACACACACGGGGGTAGATGACCTTCACTTGGCACTGAGCGCAAAGGGCAGCGAAAGAACAGTTTTAAGCCAGCTTCGTGCTCTCTAACGCTTTGAAGCTTCAACCCATGTCCAGCTACAACTGTTCTTGGAGGGATCCAAACAGCTGAGAATAGCCAAAGCCACCATCAGACTCCAAAACATTCTCTCTGCCGGTGACTGTCCTCCTCTGCCCCCTTTAGGTACTGGAAGGCTGCTCTAAAGTCTTCCCAGAGCCTTCTCTTTTCCAGGTTGTACAACTTCAACTCTCTCAACCTATCTTCAGAGGAGAGGTGCTTTAGCCCTCTGATCGTCTTTGGGTCCCTCATCTGGACTCACTCCAGCAGGTCCATGCCTTTCTTGTGCTGAGGATCACAGTCCTGGATGCACTACTCCAGGTGGGGTCTCATAAGAGCAGAGCAGAGAGACAGAATCATCTCCCTCCTACCTTCCCCCCTACTAAGTTCTCCACAGTGGTATCATGCATCCAACCCATCTGAGGGAAAGAGAGATGAGAAAATATTTTTCTGTTGCTGGATTCATTACACATCAAATGCAGGAAATTACCACTCAGGAGTAACCTTATTTTTTAGGATTAACCCATTCCTCTGCCCTGAGGTCTTGATCCGTGCGCATAGCCATGCAGCTCTGCTACGTATTATTTTTGGTTATTCCTTTTCTTTTGTGGACTCCTAAATAAGACTTGATTTCATGAGTTCACATCCCAAGCTGATGGGAATGTAGACTTTTTATTACTGAGTTTTGATTTGACATTATGATGCAGCCGACCTTCTGCGTGAATTTCAGTTTTCTCCTTGTTTGCACTGTCTGTCCCTCAGGATTTTCTAATGAGATTTGAAATTCCTTTCCTTTTTTAGCATGAGAACACACAGGTTAAAGACAAATAAGAATTGTCTGAACTGTTTTTGCAATAAATTATATGAGCTACTTTTCCCTTATTCACGTGAGTAGCTGTGCTGACCTCAAGGACTTTGCTTGCACTGGCAAGTGTTGCTTGTGTGAATAAGCCCAATGTTCTGCTGCAAGGGAAGCTCAGGGAAGCTCAGCACCTATTTGGATAAGTTTTCTGTGCTCAGTGAGAGCTGACTTCATTGCACAGCAAACAGACAGGCAGGCATGGCAGCATGATCCTTTTCCACACTTCCAAAAGAGAAAACAACTAGATCAACCTCATGCATTCAAAATGGAAAGACCAAAGGGTCAGCCCCCTAAGCCATGTCTGCTTTTGTGTCAAAACCCCTCTGAAGGACACAACGTTCCCTTGTTACCTTGTAGACTCCTGCTTGTAGATGTCGATGATGTTCTCCACCAGCAGGTTCCTCTGCAGCCCATAGACACCATGTCGGTCCAGGACCACCTCGTGCCTGCAGGAGGGACAGCGGAAACGGCCTCCCGACGCCACAGTTGTACCTCCCCTGGTCGGCAGGTAGGGGTTGGAGGCCTGTTCTTGCCAAGTAGCACAAGGAGAGGAGGGTAAGGCCATGAAAAATCATGAAAATCTCTTCCAAAAGCACCAAATGGTAGGAAACCATTTGTCACTATGCCAGATAAGAGGGTAGCTCAAACATACCACCCCTGGAAAAGCATCTGGTGACTACTGGTGAGAGGCCAGTCCCTCAGCTCACACTTGGCCATGTCCCCGCAGCGAACAGGTGACACTTTCGCCTGCTGTTAGCTCATCCCTGGTCCCCGGGGACATCAGCTTTGGCTTTAAATCACTCTCCCCCTCCCGCATCACCAACTGTTAAAATCAGTCAACCAAAACATGTAAAAAACCTGCTTTCCCATTCATTCCAGCCTGTGCTGCTTGGGGAGCAGAGCTCTCTGTGGGAAGAAACCTACCTGGAAGATGTCACTGGCGCATTTCCGACAGAGGTTGTGCTGGCAGGGCAGGATGACTACGGGCTTGGTGAACATCTCCAAGCAGATGGGGCAGATCAGCTGTTTCTCCAGGTTGTCCATAGTTTGTTGCTCTTTGGAGAAGGACTTATAGCTCAGGGAGGTGCTCATCCCTAGCTTTTCCAGGGGCATATGCTCGGGACCACGGCCTTGTGGAGAGGTTTCCAGGTTAATTTCCCTTGAAATAAGTCCAAGGCTGTGCTGGGATCAGAGGCTCTCTGGGTTGCTCTGGCTGGAGGACATTGTTCAAGCGAGGGCTGGAGGGAGCTGGGGCTGTTTTTAGCAGCACTGCGTCACAAGATGCCGTCCTGCCGTGCCCATATATGCGCGTGAGAGGAGGATAGGCTGGGACAGGTGACGGCTGCCGGGGGAAGGGGGGGAGGCCAGAGAGGCCCTGGATCTCCTCACTCACACATGGCAGCCTTCACCCCTTGAGGAGGAGGGGGAGCGATGAGCAGAGGCCATCCACTCCCTTCCCTTATCTTTGCAGGGCAATGGAGAGTGAAGGGCTGCCCCAGCCACATGCCGAAGCCTAACAAATTCTCTATTTTGAGCAAGCAGCCATGGCCATGAGATGCAGGATGTAATTTTGCCATGGCCATGAGATGCAGGATGTAATTTTCCCCTTGTGTTTTGGTGGGCTCCAGGATCTTACCTTTCCAGGGTGTGAAGTACATATGGTTACTGGAGAAGACAATAAGAGCAATGGCTGCTCTGGAGCTTGGACACTTCAGGGGGTAAACATGTTACCACCTTGAAAACTAGATAAAAAAAATTGCCTGCCTATAACTGTGCCTGTTTCTTCTGGTAAGGTTTTCATTTTAGGAACTGTAACATAAGAATCTAAAATGACTATTCATGCCATTAACTCCACGGCAGCTTAAATATGCATGGAAAACATTATTTGAATTTCCTGATGAGAAAGAAACAAAAGAAATACAGTGTGAAAAGCTTTAATTTGTGCTGCTAGAGAGTAGGTACTAGTTGCACCTATGTTCTCTCTGCATAGTTTAATTCAAATATATTTTAGTTTTGGGCACTGCTGTGTTTATATCTGTTTATTAGACACTGATATCCCTCTCAGCTTGGCACCTATTCCAGAGTTATTTTTAAAATGACAATTTCCCAGATAATTTGTGACATGTGATGCCTGATCTTAAGGGAAAGCCATCTGTGCTTCTACTTGCCAATAATTTATCACACAACTGTACAAGCAATAAATATCTCATCCTCAAATTTAAGCCAAAGTCCCTGCATTACTGTATAAAATCACTTTGCCACTGTACTGTACATGTAATCAGAATATTGTCTTCTATTTTAATCAATAACTACAATATTTTCTTTGTTAAGTGTCTTGTAGAAACTTCTAAAGTTTATTCCGCCTCATGCCTGTACAGGGCTTACATCTGAAATATGCAGTAGAGCAGCTGAATGAGCCCTCTATGAATCCAGGGGCAGACCCTAATTCCAAAGGAAGGACCTTTGTCTGAATGCAATACCAGTCTGGAAACTATGCTCTTCAGGAATATATAAAAGTGAAGGTTTTAATGGATTTCTGCATGAAAATTAATACTGTTCTCTGCATGCAATGATAATGAATCAAATTAAATGTATTATTGATTATTTTATTCTCAATGCCTTGCCTGCTTTTAAAGTGCTTGGGTGAACTCCTGTTCTCATTTGCAGCTCCCTGAGCTGGAAATTCCACTTTGTAAACTTGCATGTCTGTCAGCAGTCCCATAAAAACAAATAGATTTCTCTGAAGTCTTGCATTCGTGGGAAATTAGTGATAGCTTAGTTAAACCCATTTGAAATCACACTTTTGCTTTGACTGCCTGGTGCAGACAAGAGCCCGGAGTTGAGTGGGAGAAGCTGCTCTGGCAGCTGAGCCACGGACAGCTGGGGCTTTGGCAGGGCTGGCAGGGAGCCTCCCCTGGCAGTAGCAAGTAGATATTTCTCTTCCTCCCCTCCATGGCTGGGTCAGAGGTGACTTCTGCATCTGGAGGAATTTCAACGCCTCATTCTTGTCCTCCTAACTCTGAGTCAGCTGTCCCTTGCGCACCAAAACCTGCTTCAGTAAGGAGCTTTGAATTAGATGAGGAAAGCAGTCCTCGCCTGGCAGGGCAGGCACTTCCACCTCGCTGCACAGGCAGAAGCAGAGAAATTCTGGGAGGAAAAGCTGAAGGCTAGAAATGTCAGCACACAGAAACACTGGCATATGGTGATGTAGGGAATGGGGTGTTCACAGCATGGAAAGAAGCAGGGGGATCATGCCGCTGTGTTGGCCCTTTGGACAATGAACCGAAGCACCCCTCAGGGTGTAATGTGCCTCTGGGATGTGATTCTGGTGAATTTATATTTACTTGTGGTAACCCACAAACGCCTTCTGTTATCAAGCTGAGCAGGACACTTGATGCAGAGGACATCTGATGGCAAAGAGGTGAGGGACAGTCTGGTCTGCTGCTGGTTTTCCCCTTTCTGTGTGTGTGGTGGTTTGGAAAAAATTGTCAAAAAGCTAATATTAAAAGTTTTTCTATAATTTGTTCTAATGTGTACAGAGAAGTTTTCAGACACTCACAATGCAGTATGGGGGAGGGGAATTATATTACAATTTATTACTTACACAATAAATACTATAATACATATAAATACATATATATAACAATTTTAACTATCTCCTCTATGGTGAAACAATATATAGACATAGACTGTCTCTCCTTTCCTTCAAAAAAAGTCCAGAAAGAAAGAAGAAGAAGTCTTCTTTTCACTTTCAGGCGACAGCTCTTCCAAATTAATTTCTGCGGCACTTAGAAGTGTCTCATCTTTAAGGCAGCAGTTTTGATTTGTCGTAGCTGGAATTCTTCTTTCTTCTAAGGGGTTTGGGGAGTCTGCCCCCACTTCTCGCTCCTTGGCCACCTTGTCCGAGGGTATTACCGTGGGTTTCAGAGGAACAACCCTGTCACCACGTCTGCAGCACAAAGTGCAAGGGGTTAAAGTTTAAAGTCTTTATCCCCTGCTCTTGCTCCGTGAAGGTTCTGGCCCCCAGGTTGAGCTCTCGGGAGACTTCTTTGGGGATTTCCACCCCTCCTCCCTGGGGTCAAAGAGTTCTAAGGGCTTTTAGTTTAGTCCT